TGGAGTTATGACAACAAAAGAGAAAATCCCTCCTCATTCAATAATTCATGTTTGGTTAGTTACAATGTTTTTTTAAAAAATAAGATAATAAAAAAATTATGTAGATAAGAGAGAGAAAATATGAATTGCAAAAATTGTTTCTAAAGTGAACAAATGAATACTTTTTAGAGAAGTGTGTTAATGTTACCGTAAAGTCCACAAATAAAATGTGAATCTTCTCATAATTCTCCACACTACAAAAAATATGACTTTTTGTGGCTAAGTTTTAGTAGCAAAATAAATGTTTGCCACAATATATAAATAGTCCTCAATTATTTGTGGCAATTAAAAATTTGCCACAAAATATTAGACTTATTGTGGCAATTGTTTAATATTGCTACTATATGCATATATCTAATTATTTAAACCCAAACTTAAGCCCAATTTGAGACCCATCAACAAAAATACTACGGAGTACACAAATACGAAGGACGAAATAATATGAGGAACAAACTGGGTCCTTTTTTTTATCAGGGCAATGCGGGAGGGCGGTTGGGGGTGCAGTTTCACGGCCACGAGACAACGCTCAGACTTGGATCTTGAACCCTAGCAACCGGCCAACTCTCCGATAGTGCTAAGGAAGGGCAACCACGATGTTAAAGAGGAGCAGCGGCCGACTTTGGTTTCTGGAAGCGATGCAGCAAGCTAGACGGAGTACAACGAATTCCTTTGGCGATTGAATGGCAAATTCAGCACCAAATCAAATCAATTCTAGTTTCCAGCGGTTAGTTTTTGACATAAGCTTCAAATCCATGTTGTTCTTCAACAATTCCATTGTAATTTAGGCTCGATTTTATTTATACTGTTGATTTCAGTATCATTGTGTGCATCGTTACTGTTTGGACATATTTAAATTAAGTTATGACTTAGTTATATACGGCTATGTTAGAATTTGGATTGAATTTGAATATTCTCAAAAATAGATCTAAATTTGGCTTTTAATTATAATTAAAAGATGGTTTGATTCTATATTCAATCCACATGTGTCATGTTTTTTGTGTTGAATCAAGTAGTTTTACATTCCTAGGTGATTGGACAATAGGGAAAAAATGTCTCATAGCCCACTAGATTAGGATACAAGGAAGAAATTGCTGATTCTGCTCTGGTAACCTACAATCAAATAATATTTTGCTAGATTGTATACCATTAAGTTGGGTTCTTGTTAGGAAAAGCTTAAGATAGCTTATAAAAAATATGAAACAGAATAT